TTTCAAGACATATCATATTCTTCTACATGAATTATGTCATTTAATCCTCACAACAGCCCCCAAAGTGTAGGTGCTGATATTCTAGCCCTCTTTCACAGAGAAGGAAACTGAAGCCCAGAGACTTCCGATTGCTTCTGCGGCTGTAACAACCTGCCCGCGTTCCTTCAGCAAGCAGAAGGGCCTGTCTCTCGGAAGTCAGCGTTCTTAACCACGCGTCCCCTGCCTCCGGGTTAAGCGCAGGAGCAGGTGCTGACAGCTGCGGCACCCCGCGTTTTACTGCAGGCACTTCTTTCCTGGCTTGGGTCGCTGCCCTCCCGACTCTACAGTAACAAAGTAGACGCAGTCGCTCCCGAATCCCGGGTCTAGAGGAGCCCAGCACTAACGCCTGCCCCGCCCTCTGCTCTCTCCCCAGGACCGCCGGGAGAGCCTGCCCATCTCCCCGCCCTGGACGCCGGGCGCCTCCCGGCCCCCCAGCAGCCTGGACGGCTGGGTGAGCCCGGGGCCGTGGGAACCGGGCCGGGGGAGCAGCATGAGCAGCCCCCCGCCGCTCCCGCCGCCGCCGCCCATGTCGCCCTCGTGGAGCGAGCGCTCGGTATCCCCGCTGCGACCCGAGACAGAGGCGCGGCCTCCCAGCCGCCAGCTGCAGGCCCTCCTGGCGCGAAACATCATCAACGCGGCCCGGCGCAAGAGCGCCTCCCCGCGGCCGGCGGGCGCCGAGAGCCTGCGGCCCTTCTCGCCGCACGGGGCGCAGGCGCAGCCACCGCGGCCGCCGCCGCCGCCACCGCCGCGCCTGCGTTCGCCGCAGCCCGCCCGGCCCGGCCCACCCGCCGCCGCCGCCCCCGGGGCCACGTTCTCCCCGATCCCGCGGAGCCCGCTGCCCGCCGGGCCCTCGCCCTGCGCCAGCCCCCGGAGCCCGCTGCCCGCGACGCCCCGGCCCTTCCCCTACCGCCGCTCGCCCACGGACTCGGACGTGTCCCTCGACTCCGAGGACTCCGGGGCTAAGTCGCCCGGCATCCTCGGCTACAACATCTGTCCCCGCGGGTGGAACGGCAGCTTGAGGCTCAAGCGTGGCAGCCTCCCCACCGAGGCCTCCTGCACCACCTAAAGCCCTTTCCGCTCCGGCTCCATCCCCATCCCGGGAGGGCTGCGCCAGAAGAAGAGTTGTGGGGCTTGGTAGATTCCAGCATCGCGTGCGGGGGGGGGGGGGGGGAGGGGGGGGGGGTGGGTGTGGGGGGAGGATGGAAGGTGAGGTCTGGCCGCTTTGGACGAGGGGTCAGGGGAGGAGTGCTCCGGGCTTGGGGCTGGGGTAGTGATCCAAACTTGGGTGTGCCCTTACTCTGTCATTCAGTGATTGTGTGACCCTGGGTAAGACCCCTCCTCTGTCCGACCCTCAGCTTTCCTATCTGTTTAATGGGACTTTGGCCAAAACCATCTGCACAGGTCTAAATTACCCCTCCGCTCCCGTCAATACACATACAGACATGCACACACACCTGCTTCTAAAGAGTCAGGGTGTGGTGAATATGGACCCCTAGACTCACTCCAGTTCAGGGTTCCATACTCCTCCTTCCCTTCCTGGCTCTGCTGTATGGAGTCTGGCAAATGAGGGGTGCTCACAAGATCCTAAGCCTAAGTTCCCTATCCAGGCCCTGGCTTGACCATCCGCCTGCCTGGCACCAAGTCCCAGACAGGAGCAGCTGTTTTCCACCCCTTCCCAGAGAAGCTCTATTTTTACCATGATGACCTTTAGAGAGGTCTTCCAGGCCAGCTCAAGGTGCCCTGCTGGCCCCTCGGGAGATAAGAGGTGGAAAGATTTCTCTTCCCAGATCCCTCTCATGCTTTTTCAGCCCTGGTTCAGACTGTTGGGGCCTCTTATGTGCCGCCAGAGGGGGAGAGCAGGAAGGTAATGGCTGACATCCCCGGCCCCAGGACTTGGGCCTCCAGGAGTGCTGTAGGTGTCTCCAACCCACCTATCTCTCCTGGGCCCTTTCATGGCAGGTTCCAGGCTCAACGCTGAGCTGGGGAGAGAGGAGTTGATAGGGAGCTATCTGCTCTCCTATGACTTTAACCGGTGGCCCTGAGTTTGAGGTTTCCCACTTGGAAAAGGGGAGGCAAGAGTTCCTTCTTATGGGAGGTATTCAAGCAGGAGCCAGGATGCATAGAGGAGATTCTAGTAGGAAATGGATTGGCTCAGATGACCTCTGAGGGCTCTTCCAGTCCTGAAATGCATTGCATGATGTTAGGGAGGGAGGCAGATGGTGGTGGAGGATTGGCTGGGCAGAATTTGGGGGCATATGGGCATGGGTGGGTGAGTGAAGGGTTAGACTAGAGTCTGCCTGTGTTTTTTGTTCCTTAGGAAATACCCCATGCTTAAGTTAGGCTCCAGTATCCATATCATGCCCCGATGGCTGGACACTGTTCTGCCCCGTCTCTTTCCTGTTACACTCTGGCCTAGCTTGTGCCTTGGGCCCAGTGACCCTGAGGAGCCTGGCTGCAGACTGGTCTGTCCGTTAGACCTGGGTGGTTCTCATTCCAGTCCCCAGGAGGGACATGGGAGGAATGCGGCTAAATTCTATAGTTTCCAGAGTTGGCTGGTGGTGCCCTCTAGAGGTTCAGCGTCAGGGTACTAAGTGCAGAGGAGGGTGGGGGTGGGCCACTGGACTTGGCTGAGGATCAAAGAGATGTGGGAGAAAGGATACCAGGATGTTGCTAATAGTGAGGGACCGAGTGTGATTTGGGTATAGGGGTAGACTTACCCACCCATCAGGTGATGTTAGACCTGGAACCCCTATGTAAGACTAGGGAAAGCTGGGCTCAGGGTGGGAGAAAGTTGGGTGGTGGTCTTTAGAATTAAGGAGTGATCCCAGAGGGTGCCTAGGGCCTAAGGCTTGGGAACACAGGCCCTGACAGTGGGAAGATAAGAGAGTGTTCCTGCTTGGTTGATGATGAGTGACCACATTGAAGTCCCCATCTGCTTCAGGGTTCCTAGTAGCACGGGAGGCTGGGGCTAAGGGCCGTTTTCACAAAAGAGACCCTATCAGGCCACTGGTTAATAGAGGGGCATAGAAAATCCACTTCTGCCTGCATTTCCCTAAAGAGCCAGCAGGAGGCAGCCCTGGAAAGCTGCAGTTCTGCCTGGCTGTTCTCCCTGTCACCGCCTTACCCCCAACATCCTCCCCTCTAGCCCACTAGAGACTGCCTGTGTTCTGTCTCTTGCCTCTGTAGAATTCATCTCTGGCCCTCAATAAATGCTTCCTGCATCCCTCCGCCTCCTGTGTCATTTTCAGCTGCGTCTAAAGCCCCTCCTTCTCCCCATGGGTTAGTCTGAAGGACTCTGCAGGGATGGGAATGTTTGGCACAGGGGGAATGGGTGCCAGGCCGTAGATGAGGTCCCAGGGTTGAAGTCCTGATCCTGTTTTCTACTAACTGGGTGACCCTGAGCAAGCCCGCTGCGTAGCCAGCCTCAGCTTCCCTATCTGTGCAGGGTGAGCTGGACAAGGTGGTATTGCCCTGGTCCTCCCCTACAAGCCACTGTCACTGGAGCAGGCAGGGCCAAGCTGGGTCAGGGCCCAATGCTGTGGGGCAGGTTCCTTCTGGCAGGTTGGGGCTCCATGCAGGGGGAGAGGTCCCTACAAGCAGTCCCATCTCAGTCCAGGTAACCACAGTGAGCCTGGGACCCAGACCATCTGGAGTGCTCCTCACCTGATGGGGGTGTCCTTTGTCCCGAGAAGGGGACTGTGACCCCACTCCCGGGTGAGGCCAAGCCTGCCCTGGGAACATCCCTCACCTTCCTCTCTAAAAGCTCAGGCCCAGCAGAGGCGGGGCACAGGAACCGAAGGGGCAGAGCATGGAGCTCCTGGAGTCCTCAGAGCCCCGGGTTCTTCCTAAGGACACGTCAGAAATACAGCCTTGGACAGTCAGTCCTGGCACACGGGGACAGGTGCTGCCCGCCCTGGACTGAGCGCACCCTTGCCAGCCCACGCTTCCCTGCAAGTGACCCAGTCTTTATCTTCAGCCAGAAGCACCCCTCCCCGAGCACAATACCGCCCGGCCTACTGGTGATTCCCATCCCTGACACCTCAAATCAAGTTCATCCCAAACTGAGCTGAGAAGCCACCGCCACCCTAAGCTGTGCCCCCTCACCTTCCTCAGTCACTCAAGCCAGACTGGCCTTTCTCTCACTCTCCACATCTCATCTCGGAGCAGGACCTGGTGATTCCCCAGCTACCCCTCAGGTCCTCCTCCTCCTCCTCTCCATGGACTCTGTCCCTGTCCCCTGCAGCCTCCCCTTCTCCCACCTGACCACAGTCACATCTTCCTGCCTCCAGGCTGGCCCCCTCCAACTCACTTTTCACCTGACAGCCCAGAGACATATTCGGAAAATGCCAGCCTGACCGCTCCATTCCACTGCTTTAAACTCTTCAGCAGTCCTTTCTAAAGCACACTTGCCTTTGGCAAAGCCTGCTGTGATTCTGGCCCACCTGTCCAGCCTCAACTCCCAGCTCCGACCCATGTCTCGGCTCTGGGGCAAGTTCTGGCTCTGCTTGCGGACCCCTGACATTATTCCACACAACACGGCCTCTGCCCGCAAGGCCTGGGCCCCTCTGCCCACTGAATTCCCTCCCACTAACTAGCCTTCCAGGCCCAGATCAAATGTCTCCTCTGGGAAGTGCCTTCCCCATCCCCCACCCCCCCACCCCTAAGGCAGAGCTGGTGGCACCCTCCCCTGGGTACTCCTAGAGCATTTCCCATCATGCATCGCAAAGGCTTATTTTGGGGTCTGACTTGGGCCTGGCGGAGCTCCTTGAGGACAGAGCCCTGCCTTATTTATCTTCCGTTCATCGGAACTCAGTGGAGGGAGAGAGAAGGTGGAGGGAGAGAGGGAAGGAGGGAGCGGAAGGAAGAAAGAAAGGCCGGAAAGAAGAAATGAACAAGTCAAGCAAGGATATCAGGGGAAAATTCATTGATTCATGCATCCATCCATCCATCCATCCATTCATTCAACAAACAGCTGTTGAATTCCTATCAGGCCCCGTTCTAGGTATTAAGGATACTATTAGCAAGCTCAAGTGACTGGCAACTGACTCACCATTCCCAGGTGACTCTGGTGTGTGCGTGTGTGTGTGAGTGCGTGTGTGCAAGCCCTTCCGTCTGCAAGGGCCTGCTGCTGGGGCACCTGTCTTCCCCAAGGCTTGGTGCTTTTAGCATCTGTCCCTGGATCCTGTTGCAGCTCGAAATAAGGCTGTGAGCCACAGCAAGGCAGGACTGATTCTTGATTCTCGTCTGCTGAGGCCAGAGCTGGCTGCAAAGGCGTGCCCTGCTCAGACTGGACGGAGGACCACCAGCACCTACAGGACCACTCAGCTCTCAGCTTCCCGACAGAGGTGTTAATCTTGAGGGCCTGACATTCCCTCCTGCACACTGTGGTCCCGCCACTCAGGTACCAGGATCCTAGGGGAGCTTGAGGAGCTATGGGGTGTGGGCAGAGGTGATGAGCCAGCTGTCAGAGCCCTAGCCCCCAAGCAGAGGAAGGGCCCTGCCAAGGGTCTGGGAGCTTGGGGCCTCCAGGAAGCCTGGTGCCTGGTTTGGGAGGGGAGGGATTTAAGCTCTAGATCATTCTAGATTAAATGGGAAGGGATGGCTTGGATTCAAGGTGGGCAGAGGTAATGGCTCTGGGTGGGACCTCAAGGTCTTTAGGCTGCAGAGGGAAGCGGGGCCCCTGACAGTGGGAATGAGGGCCCTTCCCAGGGTCTGCGCATGTCTGTAAGGGGAGTATTTATCAAGAAACAGACCCGTGCACTGTGGCCTCCTGAGTGGTCACAGTCGGAGTTCAGTTCATGGCCCTCACCCCATATGCCTGCAGACACGCTCAGATCCGATATGGTTTGCGGGGTGGGGGATTGTGGGTGCCCTGAAGCCCGTCTGTGGATCCCATGATCTAGGCCAACCTTCTTATGCTACAGAGACACGTGAGGAATTGAGGCACAAACCTGGGGAGCGGCTTGCTCACAGTCACAGAGGAGGTCGGGGACACGGATTAGACTCCAGGTTGCCCAACTCAGTGCCCGCTGCCCTGGGGCCGTGTGAGGGTGGGGTGTACAGATGGAGACAGACTGTTTCTTTCTAAAGGAAGGAGTGTAGAAAAACCTGGAAGCAAAGCACAGGGGTAGTCTGTCGGAGACTCAAGAGCTCTGGCTTCTCTGCTTGGGGCAAGTTAGGGAATCTGGATTTGGAACCTGCAGGGGTTCTCTGGGGCTCTGGACCTCATTCTGTTTGCAAATCTCCTCCAAGGTCTCTGGAAAGTGTCATGAGGTGCAAATGGGGGAGGGGGGGATGGAGGAGGATATAGAGTAGGGGTGAGCGAGAGCACCCTGTAGGTCAGCTGAGGGATGGGGCATAGGGAAGGGGGTGATAGGTCTCTTGGCTTTCTTGGACCAGCCTGTGCCCTCATGCCTCAGAGCCAGTACTGGGGACAGAAGGACAGGATCAGCCTTGGAGACCCTAGCACAGCCCCAGCCTAACAACCCATCCTTTCTTCCCCTCCCTGATTTCAACCTCATTCAGCCTCTGATTAGAGCTCATCTGCATCAGCGGGTGACATTTGTTTGAGACCCCCCCATCTCCCCTGCCCCTCATCTCCCAGAGATTGCCCCCTGAAGAAAGAGTGACTCCCTGGCAACATGGGAAGCAGATTTGTGTGGCCTCTGGCACCTCCTCTTGCCTTCCCTGGACCTCAGTCTCCTCCTCTGTACACAGAGACCCCCAAAGCCCTGTCCAGCTCAGACAACCCTTCCTCGAGACTGGGGTTGGGGGGGCAAGGCAGTTCAGAGCTGAGGCTGGGTGTCCCAGGGACTGGGAGGACATCTGGGGAGGGGTGGATGGGGGCTCGCCCATTTGCAAGCATCTCTTTTCCACAGGATGATCCCTAAGGAGCAGAAGGGCCCAGTGATGGCTGCCACAGGCGACCTCGCTGGACCAGGTAAGGCGGACTCTGCCCTTGTGCGTTCTTCAGGCCCCATCCTTTCCTGGTCTCAAAGTGTAGCCACTCGGGCCTGTTGGCCTGAGGCCTGGGCAAACAGGTGTGAGTTCCAGGTCAGCCCCCAGGGAGTGTTGTGGAATCTGCCACTTGGGTTGGGAAGCTTCCCGAAGTATTGGGAGGGGCCTTGCCCTGATGGCCACACACCCAGAGGCTGAGACTGAATGCCTTACACTGGGCCCTGGGCCTAATGAAGTCCTTACCTCAGCCCCAAATTGAGCATGAGGGCTCTGGCCCCAGTTCCAGACTTAACTGTGGTCCCAAGCTCCCCCGCTCCCTCCCACCACAAGTGCCCTTGCTTCCTGTCACTATGGGTCTCCCGGAGCCGCCCCCGTGGCAGGAGACAATTGTCAAGGGAGAATGGGGACAGGCTGGCCAAAGCAGACTCCCCAGTGTGACTCAGACCATTTCACTTGAAAGTTGGCTCACCCAATGAAGAAATCAGTTAAAATACATGTTTATCACCATATGAGACCCCCTCTGGAACTCCTGGCATAATTTTGGAGTCCGGTGATTTGGCCTACTTCAGAGCATTGCAAGTATCTTATTTTCAAAGAATTGTTTAGAAGATTTTACTTATTTATTTGGGAGGGTGATAGAGTGAGTGTGCACACAGAGGGCGAGGGAGAAGCAGAGCAGGGAGACTGACCTGGGGCTCGATCCTGGGACCTGACCTGGAGTGGAAGGCAGACGCTTTACTGCCTGAGCCACGCAGGCTTGAAATGGGGATTTCAAGTATTTTAAAAACAAATTCAACCAGGTCAGAGCTCTCACCCTACAGTGCAAATGATAGTGAACGCTGCTGTTGGCTAAAAATGCAGATTCCCAGCATCTACCCCCAGGATCTCGATTCAGTGGACCTGAGGAGGGGGCAGGACATGCGCCTTTGAGACAAGTGCCCCGGGGGATTCTGGAGCACATGGACCGTGCCCCGAGCTCCGACAGACTGTGCTGTAAGGACACCACTGTTGTTCTGCCCCATGCAGCTTCTAAGTATTTCATCCTCTTGTATGACTTCATATGGGAGTTGTCCGAATCTATTTCACGTGTTCTTGCCTCCTTTTGTGGGCATCAAGTTTCCTTTTTTTAAATTTCATGATTTTGGGTGCTAACATAAGCCAACTTTGTGAGGTATTGATGCTCTAACTAGAAGAAGCAGACAATGTGTTCTCTTTTCCCTTGGCTAAGTAACTAATTAATTACAGTCCCCCAAGTGTGGGCACATATCATCTATGCCAGACTGGAAATGCATCCATTGTTGGCTGTTGCTAGGGTATTAACTCAAAACAATTTTGAAACTAAAGTACCATGACAAGACAGCCTCTGTAAGGTAATAATAACACAGACACCGTGATTATGTTCTTCCTCTGGGTCAGATCCTGTGCTAAGAGCTTCCCTGCTTCCTGTTATATAACCCTCACAACAATGCTGTACGTTAGCTATTGTCCCCATTTTGGTGATGAGAAAGCCAAGATTCAGGGGAACTAGGCCATCCCATATCTAACAGTTGCTAGAGCTGATACTGGATTCCAGATCTCTCTGTCTCCAGAGTAGCTTCTTGACTGCACGGTGGTGCAAAATAATACATCCCTTTCATAAGATATTCAGAAAAAACAGATGTGAATGACTTTGAAAGTGAAAGTCCCTCATAACGGGACCATCTGGAGATAACCACGGTTAGCACGTCTGTGTAACTCCGTCTTCCGTTCATATATAAACACATTTATACAAACGCACGTGCACGTGGGCTGAGTACTATACGCGTGCTCTGCAGCTCACCTTTTGCTTCACTTAGCAGCCTAGCGGGGACTCCCTCCCGTGCTGGTATGCTGTCTCTCCCCCACCCTTGCCCCCCCCCAAGCATGCATCCTGTTAAGTATACTGATACACCCCCTCTCCTGGCGGTCACGCAGGCTCATCTCGGGTTGGACCCGGAGAAGCAGAGCTAAGCATTCTCACAAGAGTGACTTACTGAGGTCACACCCTCAGGAGGAGGGAAATGATGGAAGCAGGATAGGGCAGGGGAAATGGCTCAGCAAGCATGTGGGCTCAGCTGTTGGCCCAGGTTCGGCCTGATCCCTCAGGGGCTCCAGAGCCTGAGTGGCTCCGCAGAATTCATCCTGTCCTGAGCGACGGGGCCCTGAGCCCTTCTGCTCAGTGGGGCAGTGCTCAGCAGAAGAGGGCACTTGGGACCCTGAGCCGCAGATGAAGGGCATCTGGGCAGCACCCCCACAACACGGTGGTGTGGTTTTCACAAGCTGAACCCTCAGTGCTATCAACAACCGTCTCTATCTTCAGGCATGTTTATTGGACTTTTCTCCCTAAGAATGAGTGCCTAGAAATGGAACTGTTTTATCAGATAGATTTTATCTATAACTTTTTTTTTTTTAATATTGAGCTCAATTTATCTGGTAGTATCTGAAAATCCGATACTAGGGGACTTTTTATTATGTATTTAGATATAGTCTTTCACGCTTTTAGTAGGCAGTATCTTTCATTGTTTAAAAAAAAAAATAGTGCAATTTCCAGCCCTCTTCTTCCTACGTCCCGTAAATAGTCACTACTGATACTCAGCATATCTCCGCGCAGATTTTTCAAAGCATGCATAAACATATAGTACTTGTTTTTCTAAATAAATGAGTGGGATCTTAGAATGCAGATTCTTCTGAAACTTAACTTTTTTCCCCTCTTAACCTACAATGGATCTCCTTCTGTCTCTACCATGCAGGAGGTCCTCTCTATTTGCTGAAAGAATAAAAAAATCATCAGCCTCCTTTTTTGAAAGCCTGTCTGGATTCCATTGACTGGACTGAACCACAGCACCAGCATGCCCCCACCCCCCACCACATGCTGCCTGGCAGCCCTGTCCATCTCCTTGTCCCATATGACTTGCTTAGAGGATGGTGGCAACCTTCATCCCCAAACTCCCAATGCCTCCTCCCCCGTCCTCCTTCTCAGCAGATGACCTTTTTTCCTATTGCACTGAGAAGAGTGAAGGGACCAAAAGAGTCCAGTGCAAGCTCCCTCCTCCCCACCTGGCTTTCTCAGTTCTCCTTCCCCTTCCCCTTGTGGAGGAGGACCTCTCCCTGTCCACACCCTCCCCTCCCTTCCCTTCGCCTCTGTCCCGCTCCAGGACAGTCTTCCAGTCCTGGAGTCTGCCCTCTCTCTATTGCATTGTCAAAATTTCCCATCAGCTAAAAAACATGCTTTTATTTCTCCCTCTTAAAAACAAACACCTCTTGATTCTGCCGCTGCCTCGGTCCCATGGAGTGCAACTCCTCAAAGCTGTTGTCTACGCTTTCTCGCCTCCCCTCTCTCCCTAACATTTTATTAAGCTCACTTCCAAACACACAAAAATAGAGAGTGCAAATCCCCATAGTCCTCCTTTCGTTCCTGGAGCCCAAAGCAAAACCCAAAAAGCTTGTCGTTTCATCCCCTCAACACTTCAGGATGCACGGAAAATAATGAAGAGGACGTTTCCTTATATACCTCGAAGATGTTAGTACCCTGAACAAAATTAGCAATTTCGATTTAATACCAGCTAATGACCAGTCCCACAGTCAACTTTCTCCAATTTTCTAGTTTGTGTTAATGAGGCTCCAAGAAGGATCACTGTTTATCTGGTGGCCGGGTCTCTTCAATCTCCTTGAGTCTGTACATCCTATACCTGCCCCAACAGCCCCCCCCTTTTTTTTCTTTTTTTTCCCAGGTCATTTATTCCTTTAAAGAACCCAGGCCAGCTGCCCTATAAAATACTTCACATTCTATATTTGGTTCACTGCTTCCTCGAGGTATGGTTAGAATGTCCTTCTGTCCATTTTCTCTTAACACTTTCCAAGAAGATTTTCACACCCAAATACTCCATAGAAACTACTTTTGTGAAGATGACCGATAATAAGGCCCTGACACTATGGAGGACCGTCAGTTTTCGGCTCTGTGAGCCCCCCATCTTCCCCAAAATGCTTTTATCACTTGGTTTCCAGGGTACCACTCTCTGGCTTTCCTCCTGCCTCACGGGGCGCCCCTTCCCAGGCTCCGTGGCTGGTTCCTCAGCTCCTGGGTCTGGGCGCCAGAGCCCTGGGGCTCAGGCTTCAGATCTCTTTCTCCCTCACATCCCCAGTGATCTCATTCAGGCTCCCGACTCTAAACACCATTTATAGAGCTGGAATACGAACCACGGTGTATCCGATTTTAGAGGTGGACAACTCTGGCCATGCTGTCCACACGTATCCTTTTCCTACTGGTGTCCTCACCCCTCTGTCACCCCTTTCCTCCCAGAGCCTCCCCTTGTTGGGAAGTGGGTCAAAGTGGGTGTATTGGAAGCGGGGGACAGACACAAAGGATATGAATGGGTTCCAAAACTACTAAGAACAGCCATCAGTCCTGGAAACCCTCTATGTGGCTATCACAATGAGTCCTCACTCTGAGAAAAGAAAGAAATGTAATGGTCTTCATCAAATAACAACAATAAAAACCATTTGTAAGCTCACGATGCCCCCAGTTTTTACCTCAGGTCAGTTTCTCCCGTGAGCAGGAGGCTCCCATATCTGGCTCCCTCTGTCTCTGCTTCTCTACTTCGGCATCTGCAAGGCTCTTCAAACCTTCTATGCCCAGTTCTGCAGGCGATTAGGGGAATTTGAATATGGATTAGGTATTGTATAAAACAAAACAAAACAAAAATGTGTCCACTTGCCCAGGTGGATATCTTTAACTGATAAAAGCAAGTTATAAAGCATGTATAACTATGACTTCATTTTGGCTGAAAACTCATACATGGTTATATAGTCTTTTTCTGATAAAACTTATTTATTTTGGAGCGCCTGGGTGGCTCAGTCGGTTGGGCGACTGCCTTCAGCTTGGGTCATGATTCTGGAGTCCCAGGATCGAGTCCCGCGTCGGGCTCCCTGCTCAGTGGGGCGTCTGCTTCTCCCTCTGACCTTCTCCCCTCTCATGCTCTCTCTCTCGCTCTCTCTCAAATAAATAAATTTAATTTAATTTAAAAATTATTTATTTTATTTTAGAGAGCGAGAGAGAGAAAGCATGTGAGGGCTCTATCCCAGGACCCTGAGATCATGATGTGAACTGAAATCAAGCATCAGACACCCAGACACCCAGGCGCCCCTCACATATGAATATATAGTCTTTGAAAAAGATACGAATGGATATACACTAAGGTGTTAAAAGTAGCAACCTCTGGGAGATAGAAATGGTATTTTTCTCTGTTCCCCTTATATCTGTATTTTCTAACTTCCTTCAATGTATATATATACACACTATTTTTAAAATAATAAAAGGCTATTTTAAAATGGAAAGAACACATGTGTAACCCTGAGCTCCTGATCTTTCCCCATCTCATCCTCCTCCAGCCCTCCCCATCTCAGTGAGTGGCTGCTCCCAGGATGAGGACAGAGTGGCTCAGGCCAGAAACCCCAGCCCCCTTCCCCAGCAGAGCTCGCTCCCCTGGCTTACCTTTAGAAGAGTCTCTAGAATCTGACCATTTCCCACGACTCCAACCACTGTGGGCAAAGAACTGCAGAGGAAATTCATGGAATAAATACAAATGGCCAAAGAACATCTATCTGAAATGGAGCTCAGTTTCATTGAGTGTCAAACGCATGCAAATTAAGCTCTGAGGTGTCATTTCTGCCTACCAGGTAGGCAGAGTCCCCAGAACAGTGACTCCTAGTGTCAGCAAATGTGGGGAGGAACCGGCATTCTCATACACCCTGGCAAGCGCTCGGAGGCCGATGCCCTCAGAGGCAGGCAGCCCCGAGGGCCCCGAGGGTTTGGCGGTAAGAGCTCACTCTGGCCTCTCTGGGCAGCCCCTCTGCTGGACCTGGGCAAGAAGCTGAGCGTGCCCCAGGACTTGATGATGGAAGAGCTCTCGCTACGCAACAACAGAGGATCCCTCCTCTTCCAGAAGAGACAGCGCCGGGTACAGAGATTCACCTTTGAGTTTGCAGCGAGCCCGAGGATGGTGAGTTCATCCCATTGTGCTTCTAAGGGAACTGAGGCCCAGAGAGGGCCAGTGGTTAGCCTAAAGCCAATCAGAGAGCCAGATGACGATGTCTGGCCCCTGGGGAGTCCCTCCAGCTCCAGCTCCAGCTGGAAAGGCTGTGATGTTCCTATCAGATTGAGCCCCTGACTTGCTGTGTGATTCTAGAAAAGCGGTATCTCCCCCCAGATGCAAAACATGAAGTGGAAGGGGCAGGGTGAGCTGTGGGAGGGAGGGGATTCTGGCTCCTATCAAAAGAGCTCTGCGCTGAACTTGCAGTGAGCAGGATTTAGATTAGATTTGAGCTTGCCCTTAGAGAGAAAACACAAAACTCTTTCTCTTCGTGCCCCTAGCAGAAGGAAAAGGCCAGAAAACCATCTGCCAGTAGTGACAAGAATGGCTTATCCTCAGGCTTCAAAAAGTCAGCAGGCAGTTTCAGTTACTTGAAATGAACTCACACTCCTCTCAGTTTCTGGACTCAACAGAGGGTGACTGAGAGGGGACGAGATGGCAGAAAGCAGAACAGTAAAGACAATAAAACACCTACTTGCTAGCCAAGCAATTCATGTGTATCATCTCATTTAAGGCTCATACAGCCCTATAAGCTAGACAGTATCAACACTAATCCCATTTTATAGATTAGGAAACTGACACTCAAGAAGTTTATGTGCCCAAGGTCAATTTTAGAATAGCAACTAACATACAGAGAGCATTTCTCTGTTCCAGGCACTGGGATTAGCACCCTATGTTATTAATTCATCCCCTCACCATCCCTGAGATGTGGGCACTGAGATGATGCACCTCCTCCCCTTTTTTGGTGGAGGGAGAACCCTGGTCCTTTCCCGCACTGAGACTCCCTGCGGTCTATTTGCCCCCACAGATCGTGGAGGCAAGTGCCAAGGGGAAGGTGTTGGGGTCGAAGGTGACAGGATCAGCGGAGCTGGGGACGGTGAGTGTACAGGGAGGGGAGCCCCCGTAAGAGGCGAAGTTGGGGGAAGGGGCCAGGCAGCTCTGTGCAGCAGTCCTTGGCTTCTGAGCACCCGCCCCTGTGCCCAGGTTGCCAACGGCCCTAAGGGGCAGAACTGCCGCTCTGAGCTCCACATCTTCCCAGCCTCATCCCAGGGCCCCGAGGATGCCCAGTCCGCAGCTTTCCCCACGGAGCGCGCCTGCAGCCCCAGCACCCTGGCACCAGGTGAGGGCCTCCCCAGGTCCTGGGACCGGGGCTGTGGGACCAGATCCCGGCAGTGCTCCACCATGGGGCAGGAACCAGTGCCCAAAGAGCATCTAGTTTACCTCCCGCATGGACCCCGACACTCCTCCACAGACCTAACACAAGCCCGGAGAGGTGCAGCAATGTGCCCAAGGTCACACACCGAGCCAGAGTCTACGCCCCAACTTGAAATTCCCCTGCTCCAGTCCTCCTTGCTTCCAGGGATGGGGAAGGATTGGTCCACTTTGCTGGAACAACTTTGGTGTTATATTCCCCCTGCCCCCCATCCCAGCTCCAGGCTTCCCTCCCCCAACCATATCTGTGGGGTGGACAGGAGTGGGGGTTGAGGGGAAAAAAAGAGCTCAGCCACCTCCCTCCGCCACCACCTGCCCCCCATGAGCCCTGCTCCATTTCCAGGCTATGCCGAGCCACTGAAGGGGGTCCCGCCAGAGAAGTTCAACCACACAGCCATCCCCAAGGGCTACCGCTGTCCTTGGCAGGAGTTCATCAGCTACCGGGACTACCAGAGCGATGGCAGAAGTCACACCCCCAGCCTTGCCCAGTATCGAAATTTCAACAAGTAAGGCGGGGGGCAGGGGCAGCTTGGGGATAAATCGCTAGGCTGTGCAGGTACCCATCACAGCATGGCAGGGGCTGCATTTCCTGAGCCCTTTCACATGCCAAGCTCTACTGGAACACTTTCCCATGGATTGAGCTCTTGCTAGAACTCAATCGAATGATTACCTCGGAACAGAGTAGGTGCTCAAGAAATGTACAGGCAATGAATGGGGGAAATGCCACACATCTTGTTGGTTTCTCCACACAACAGGGCCGGGAAATGCTGCATTTTTTTTCCCATTCTGCCAGTGAAGGGACCCACTCAGGAACAACAGCAACCTGCCCAAAGTCACGAAACAAGGAGGCGGCGGGTGCGGGGTCCAAGTCTGTGTTTGTCTGACTCCAGAGCCCGGTTTCTTATTTCCTCCCTGTTGTGTGCCCCCTCTTTGATGCATGTTCCTCTGGGTGGTGCCCCTATCTCACCAGTCCTAGACCAGCTCAGCCTTCTCCTCACTTTCCTCAAAGGTCTAGAGAAGGTCTAGAGATGGCTTTGAAGTGTATCAAAGTGGGGAGTGGCGGAGAAACATCGGCCGCCAGATGTGAGAGCCACAGAGGAGCGGCTGTACTATTTAGAGCCTGGGGTCTCAATGTGGGCTTACATGCATTACATGCTTATCTCATGTGGGCTTACATGCTTACAGGCGATGACTCCTCGCCTCACTGTGTGACCTTGAGCAAGTGACTTAACCGCTCTGAGCCTCTACTTCCCCATCTGACTACTGTAACAGGAGTCCATTACAGTATCTACTTTGTAAGACTGTCATGAGGATGGCATGAGAAGCCATAGGCAAAGTTTTTACCAAGTAATGAGCTCTCAATAAACAGTAGCTATTAGTATTAGTATTGGTATTGGTTACAGGCTGAAATAATGGTTGGGAAAGCTAATAGGGAGAATTGGAAAGGGATAAATTTGGTGTCCTGTCCCAGGGGCCCAAAGAGAAATCCTAGGAGTCAAGACAGGACCCTGGCCCTGGAGGAAGGCTTTGGGCTGGGGGATGCATTTCACCTGCAGTTGTCTTTCTTGAGCTGATGCTATTTCTGAGAAATGCTCCTCTGGCCTGGGTGGCATTAAGTGAGAAAGAGGAGGGCCCACAGGAGGCGGCCATGGTCCAGCTTTTCTGGCACCTGCTCAGACCACATGTGAGACTGTCGGACACCCGGGGGTGATCAGCCCTGAGAAGAGACTACTCAGAAGGGAGGGGACCCCCCTCAAACCGCTGATAGCCAGGGAGGGCCCCCATGGGAAGAACCGTGCCCAAGAAGCACCATGGGAGCCACGAGTCATTGGCATGCATTCTGGGGTTTCTGCCAGGCCAAACTGTGTTCTCTTTCTCCCTGGGGCCCTCAGCCCCTACCTGTGAGGCTATGTACCCTCAAAAGACATGGAGTCCTGGGTGCTGGCTTCCGGGCTGGCCCCATCCTTCTCAGGCTGCAACTAGGACAAGAGGAAACACATTCCCATCAGGGCTTTAGAATGTCCTCAGCTCAGGCCCCCTTTGAGACAGAAGAGCCAACTGAGGCCGAGACAGGGGTGAGCAACAGTGTAAGTGGCCCAGCTGCGTTAAGGATCCAGGGCTCTGGGCTTCCAGACAAGGGCTGGATCGTGAGGCCTGTGCAGCTTGGAAACTGCCCAGCCTGTTCTCACAGGGCCTGCCTATTGCCGCCACAGCCGGGGTGGTCTGGGCAGACCCACTCTCCTGGCTGGAGCCCAGGCCCTGGCCCGAGGACTGCCTTTCTACCCCAGGGGCAAGCACTCCCCCATTCCCACTGCTCCCAGGCTTCAAGGAAAACACTACATGAGCCATGCTTTTTAAGTTTTTTTTAGATGACAAAATAGTTTTAAAATAACATACTTATATTCTCTTACACACACATACACACGCGCACGCGCACACACACACGAACGCGCACACACAGGCAACTACAAATAAAGAGAGGGCCCTCTGTTCACCATCCTCCAGTCCCAGTTCCCTTCCCAAATTCCCAAAGGTAACACCGTGGTCAGGTGGGTGCGTCCGTTTTCAGGTCATTTTCTCCCAGCAGTTCCAGTCCTATAGTTAATGGCATTGTTTTATATGTATCTGTGCGTTTTAATACTTTGTATCTCATTCTGTAACTTGCTTGCCTTTTTGATCTTTTGAAATCTATCCTACTCAACACGCACAGATCTTTTCATTCCCTTTAAGCGGCTATATGGTATTCCGCCATGTGAACACACGTCTGTCTTGTTGGTGTTCTGCCCGTGGACATCCGGGCTGTTTCTGGTTTGCAGCCACGTGCTGCTCATGCCCATTTCTTTTTGCTGTGCATGCACGTGCTTCCCTAGGCCCTGTGCCTACAGGTGCAATTGCTGGTTCACAGAGTTCACACATTTTTTAGATTGAAAAGATCCTGCAAGTTGTCCAAGGTAGGAGCACTAATTTACCCTCTAACCAGCGGTATCTGAGTGAAACTTTGCCCACCATCTCACCAAATTTGCCGCATTATCAAATTATTTCTTCTCACTAGTCTTACAGGTAAAAAGTAGTGTGTCTGTTATCATGTCCATCTCTGGATTCTCCGTGCTCTTTCTAACCCTCTCTTCCCTCTCTGGCCTGGGTGTATATTGTCCTGAGGGGAGATGAGCAGAGGAAGGAAAAACCCCATTCCAGCTCTACTGCCTTTCGGAACTTACTTAAGGGGAAGCTAGAGTTTTGCCTGGGACTAGCCAATTCTATCTTTGAAAATTTCATGCCTATTCCCAAGCACCAAGCCATCCCCACTAGAGACAGGCTAAGGAACGGGCAGAGCTGCAGAAACCTGTTAAAGATAATACAAAGCCTTGCCGTATGTAGGTGGGGAAACTAAGGCCTAGAGGGAGGTAGGGAGGGGCCCCCACATGGTGACCTGCGTGTCAGCGGTCTGCTATCCAGTGCTCTCCCACACAGTCTACTTCCCCTGCTGCTTTTCTCTCCCCAGGACCCCGGTGCCCTTTGGAGGACCCCTGGTGGGGGAGACTATTCCCAGAGCAGGCACCCCCTTCGCCCCGGAGCTCATCAGTGGCTTGGAACGCCTTCGCTTCAGACCCAGCTTCAACAGAGTGGCGCAAGGCTGGGTCCGCAACCTCCCTGAGTCCGAGGAGCTGTAGCCCCAGCCTGAAAATTCAATTCCCCTGTCTTGGTGTCTGGGTAACATCTTGGAGTCAAGACTTCTGGATGGCACTTCCCAGTTTATGATGGGGCTCTTCACACACAAAACCTTATCACAAATGGCCTCCACGGCCACAAAGTTTAGTAGTCCCCAGATGGGGTGTGTTTCAGAATTTCCTGGAGATGATGATTTGCGTACAGATTTCTGGCCTGCCCTAGACTTGCAGCATTCAAATCTCCTGAGTTGGGGAATTTCTATTAGTAACCACACTCCCAGATGATTCCAGTGAAACTTGTTCATGGTCTGTGTCTTTCGGCATCCGAGCCACCAGTGAATTCACATCCATGCCTCCCCTCCTTCCTGCCATGGACACCAGCTTATACTCCCCCGACAGGCAGCTTGCTAGTGGCTGGTTAACCTATGGAGAACTCTGATAATCAGAAAGATTTCCTTGCATTGAGATGCAGGTCTAAGCATTTGCTAAGTACGTACTGTGTGCTGGACACCCTGCCAGCCCAGGGGGAGTGTGTGGCGAGTACGCCCAGGCCTGACCTAGAGGAGAGAAGGCAGTCAGGAAGGCAGATTAGTAAGCAGTAATTCGTGTTCGTTTCCCTGACAGCACGCTGCCTGCTGACAGAGGAAGAAAGTGCCATGGTGGCGGGGGCGGGGGGGGGGGGGGGGTGCCCCGGGGGGGGGGGGGGGGGGGGGGGGATGTGCCCCCTGGGGATGGGGTGGGATTCCAGGAACCTTCTCAGAGACTTTGAGGGGGACCCCAGAGGAGGAGTGAGAGCCACCGAGGGCAAAAGGGGTAATGGGGAGGGCATTCCTGCCCAGTGAACCAGCATGTGCGAAGTGTGGAATTGCGCACAGGAGGAGGAGGTTATGTTCTGGAGAAAGGAGGGGCTGTGTTAGAGGGTCAGTGAGGGCCAGCTTTGGGGTTTCTTTACTAAGGAGATGGGGGTAGGTTTTAAGCTGGGGAGTGATGGGTCTTGCTATGTGGCAAGATTGGGCAGGACTAAGACTAGAGGCCAGGAAGCCTGCAGGAAACAAGGTCTAGACTTGGGTGATGGCCATGGGGATGGAAAGAAGGGGCACCCCTCACCCCTCTGGGCACCTTATAGGTCAGCTGCAGTGTGGGGTACATGGAAGGCCCCCTTTTTTTTCCCCTTCCACTCACCATCTTGTGCAAGCCTCAGGGTAAATCTCATCCTGGTCTCTGCCGGGGCTAGTTCAGGACTGTATCCAGTTACTAGGAAAGGAGGGAAAGGAATGCCTCTTAGTTCAACTGATGAGGAAGAGGACAATGACAATGTTGGCAGTGGCGGCTCCTTTTTATTGGGTGCCTCAGTGCTTGGGCTGGTAGTAAGGTCCCACATATCCTATTTCTTATTTTCAGTTCAACCCTGAGGGAAAGGTATTGTCCCATTTTACAGGATATGCCTATCCGGGCTCGAAAGAAGTGGCTTGTTCAGGGCCAGAGCCAAAATGGGAATGTCTAGTTCCAGTGGCTGTCCCTTTTCGCCACACTGGGTGGCCAGGCCAATGTCCACTCACTCTGGAACCATCTAAGCACAGTGTCCTGCCTCAGGGCTTTGAAGTGAAAAGTGCAGGTTGGGAAGTGAGGCTGGATGGGGTGGGCTCTAACTTCTACTGCCAGCCATGTGAACTTGAGCAAGTCATTTCTCATTGGGAGGCGTCCATCCCTCTACCTGTAAGATGAGGACAAGGCCAGAAGCCCCTGGATAGGGCAGTGGTGAGCACAGTGATGGATGCATACCTAAGAAGCCCTCAGTCGTTATTAGATTTCATACAGCTCCTGCTCTTGCCTGGGAAAGATGTTCCTGTTCTTAAAAGCTGGCTGCAAGATGTCAGTGGGGTCAGCAAAGCTTAAGCCGGAAGGAAAGCCTCTGATTACTGTTGGGCTCCCTGTGGATGTGGAAGTGGAATTACCTCCCTCTGCCTTCTCCCTGGTTCCCTCTCTTGGGGAGATGAGAAGGTGAGAAATTCAGCTAGTTCCAGAATGCCTGGGGTAGTGATTATATTTTCCTTTGGTTCTGGACTTTCACTGCACCCCACACCATCTCCAGGGCCCAGCAGCCTATTAGACTTGCCTGCCATTGATGTGTTGTCTTGAACTGGGGGCGACGGTGCTGTTGAAAGCCACATCTGCATGAGCTGAAAACCAACTGTGAAAGTGTATGACCCATAGAAGAGAGGATCTAGACCCCACCCCGGACTGGCTGTGCTGTGTTCTGGACGGTGATGGCCACCACCAGCTACAGGAGAGGAGAGCCTGCTGCACCTGAAAGCAAACCCACATTCTTTTTTCTGATGATGTTGCTTTTGCTGATATTGCTTAAAAAAAAAAAAAAAAGAATGCTTATTATCTAAATAAACAAATAAGTAAAATGTGGAAGGATTGGACCACATAGCTTCTCCTGTGTTCATAGACTTTCCCAGCCTTCTGCATTCGACCTCATCCCCATATACTGGAGGTAACCACGGGTGACAGTTTGGAGCTTCTAGACTTCTAGGAAGCCTCGATTAAATATGTAGTGCATAAAGGTGTAGAGGTGCAAAACTACATCTTTGTTTAATGAGATCATACCTTGTGGACCATTCTGTACTTTGCATCTTTATTCAACAACAAGTGAAACATGGATCCTGAAAAAGCAGAGCATTAACCTTTCGTGTAATTTGTGGGCCTAGTGAGCCCTTCATATAAAATCCTGTTCTTTGCCTGTTCATATAAAATTCTATGCTTTTGCCTATTCTGTTCCTTACCTAAATGAAGTTGTATGGTGATATGGAAGTGAAAAGGACTGAGACCAGTCAGGATGTTGAGAAAGCAGACATGCACTACGGCAGCGACGAGCGGAGAGGAGCTGGGTTTCACGTAACAGCGCGGGCGCAGCGCAAGCACAAATGGGCACACATGGGAAGGTGGATACAAACACGTATGTATGTGTTGCAGGGAAGTGTTCACATAAAAGTCAGGATGGGGTTAACTTTGGGAGGAAAGAAAGGAAGGTGATTGTGAAGGGATAAAGTGCTCCTGGGGAAAGCTGGACAATTTCTGCTGCTGGATCTGGGTGATGGTTACAGGGGTGTTCACTCTAGAGTATTAAATTTAGTTGTACATCTGTATTTTATGCACTTGTTCTATACATGTGTTATATTTTACCAAAACAATCCCACCTTTTAAAAAGTGAATGGACAAATCAGTAATAGATCAGATGTATCTGATGAGGGAATTAGTGAACTAGAAGTGCCCACAATGTTTCATGGAGAGGTGAGGAAACCAAGAGTATGAGAGAGAAATCAAAAGACGTGGAGAATAAAATGAAAGCGTCTGACGGTACTGACAGGAATTCCAGAAGATGCTTTAGGATGACTGGGTTTTCTCCATATTTGGTAAAAGGCACAAATTCACACCATCCTCACCCTGTCGTGAAAAGGGATATTAAATCCACACTTAAGAACCACTTTTTTGAGGGAAGCCTGGATGGCTCAGTTCATTGAGCAGATGTGCCTCTGCCTTCAGCTCAGATCCTGATCTCAGGGGCCTGGGATCAAGCCCCAAGGGCTCCCTGCTCAGCGGGGAGTCTGCTTCTCCCTCTCCCCCTCCCACTTCCCCACTTGTGTTAGCACTCATGTTCTCTTTCTCTTTCTCTCAAATACAATCTTAAAAAAAAAAACCCACTGTATTGAAATTGCAGAACTCCAAAGTCACAGAGAAATTTCAAGAAAGTTGAAATTACCTACAAATTACCCAGGTGAAAAAGCTAGATCACCTACAAAAGAACGACATTTCAAATGACAGCAATAATAGAAAAATATCTTCAAAATATCTTCAAGAGGTGAGAGCAAAATAAATTCATTTTCAGACAAATAAATAGTGTGAGAATTTCCCACTAACTCCTGAAAGAATAAAAGAACATGCTTTAGGAAGGATCCAGGAAAAAAGTGTAGAATCTAAGAAGCAATGGTGAGCACAGAGATCAATTCTATAGACAGCAGGAATGATGGAACAAGAAGCAATTAAAGGGACACAAATTAAAGTATAAATACATTTAAATATCTCAGTTATCATAATATTAAATATCTCAGTTATCATAATGTAAATGTATACAGCTCAGCAATTTAAAGACTCTCCAGTTTGGGTAAAAAGTAATTCCAGCTCTATGCTTTTCACAAATAGCACTCCTAAAAATACGACCTGGAGGTAAACTAAAGAAATGGAAAAGGATAAAGAGTTAGATGTTGTCCCGGAGAAATAGGATCTAATCTAGTCGCATTAACATCAGACAAGGGGACTTCCTGGCAAAGGGACTTCCTTCCAAGGGGACTTTATTGTGATAAAGAGGATCCTTACATAATGATAAGCCCATGGTCACAGTGGAAGATTTAACACAGTTCTTTCAATTATTGATCAGACAGAGTAAGGATATAGGAAATTTGTACAATAAGATGAAAATATGGAATCCGCACCACCAAATTAGAGAATATTCATTATTTTCAACTACTATGAAACACTTCATAAAATAAACATACAAAATTTAAAACTTTTGTGCATCAAAGGATCTTTTTTTTTTTTTTAATGTTCAACTAGCCAACATCATTAGTTTTTGATGTAGTGTTCAACAATTCAAAAGTTGCGTATCATCACATGTGTCCTCCTTAATACCCATCACCCTGTTACCCCTCCTCCCACCCCTGTCCTCTCTGAAACCCTGTTTGTTTCCTGGAGTCCAGAGTCTCATGGTTTGTCTCCCTCTCTGATTTCTTCCCCTTCAGTTTTCCCTCCTTCCCCTGTGGTCTTCCATGCTATTCCTTATGTTCCACATATGAGTGAAACCATACAATAATTGTCTTTCTCTGCTTAACTTATTTCACTCAGCATAATCCCCTCCAGTTCCATCCATGTCAATGTAAATGGTGGGTATTCATCCTTTCTGATGGCTGAGTAATACTCCAATGTATATATGAACCACATCTTCTTTATCCATTCATCTGTTGAAGGGCATCTTGGCTCCTTCCACAGTTTGGCTATTGTGGACATTGCTGCTATGAACATTGGGGTGCAGGTGCCCCTTCTTTTCACTATTTCTGTAGCTTTGGGGTAAATACCCAGTAGTGCAACTGCTGGGTCATAGGGTAGCTCTATTTTTAAAGTCTTGAGGAATGGCCATACTGCTTTTCCACAGTGGCTGTGGCTGCTTTTCCACAGCTTGCCTTCCTACCAACAGTGTAAGATCAAGACAGTGAAAAGACAATCCACAGAATAAAAGATTATAACTCAAAGAATAAACTAAATATCCATGAATTCAGTGATATAAATAAATTATTGAATAAATAAATAAACAGGGGAGAAGAGAAAAACCTTCTTTCTTCCTCACAAAAAACTTCAAAATAATGTATGTAGAAACTTCCTCTTCAGAAGATGAGATGTAATTCCCATCCTACTGATTATAGATTGGCCTTACCAACTTGCTTTAAAAAAATAGAACATAGGGAAGGAAAAACAGTAAATTTATGAAGGAGAAAGCTGGAAGA